TGGACTTTGCTGGTTTTGCCTAAGTCGCGCGGCACCCTTGCGTGTCCGTCCGCAAAGGTCAGCCTCCCCGAAGCCTCTCATTCTCCCTTAGGACCAACAAAAGAGAGAACGGGTTAGAGAGAACGCCTCACTCGGGATCCACAAGCAAACATCTCTGAAAACACTTCATAGACAATGCAAATTACAAACAGACTTTACAAGCTCTGAACAGTTGCACAACAAAGGATAAAATGGTCCATTACAGACCGAACTAAAATGGGACTATTAAGCCTTCGGCTGTCCCTCTACATGCTAGTCAAAGTATGAACATACCAAAAGACACGGACATACATAAGCATTACATCAAACATCTTGTTTAGAAGTTTGTTCGTGACAGGGCGGTCCGCGTACCGGTAACCTGTCAGACTGGTACGTACCGCCCGGTACGGGCGGTACGCTTCGGTATGACAGACCTTGGTTAAGTGAATAAAGAGATAGTTTCTGAAAGAACTACAAAGCCTATTGAAGGCAGAAAATCTTAATAGTTTCTGAATAAGAAACTTGTAATGCAAAGGGAAAAAAAATCAAATATATCTTAAATATAATGAGATCTATTAAAGAATGGAAGTATTTTGCTACTTAGTGGGAATAACATATGGTGTCCTAACAGATTCTGTATTCACAAAACAACAAGAAATTTATGAACAATGTCGCATGGGTGACACAGCAGTTGTTTCAGAACTCATACGGCGTTATTTTGATCTGGATCATTTCTGAACACGTAGAAAAGAGGTGCTAATATTTCGTTCATCCCTTGTACATATCTTATGCCTGGATTCAACTTTGCAAAGATAATGAGTATGTGCCTCAGGGCCTCCTACCAAGAATAGAAGTTAGTTAATTAGTTAATTAATACAACCAACTTAAGAAAACTACTCTGTTGAATAAGAAACCACTTGCCTGATTAGACTTCGCAAGGGATGAATCCCCACAGAAAAATTGCATGTCAGGATGAGTGCGCTTTACATCTCGTTCAATCTGTTCAATGATCTCTGTCTCCTTAAATAAGATGAAATGAATATGTATTAGAATTAGATGCATATCCCACAACTACAAAAAGGAAGCCAATTACGAAAACAGAAACTCTAAATGTGGTAAATTTATGAAACATCCCAATTCAGATATTCTTACAGAATCAATCTGTAAGAAAATGCCAATAGTTAATAGAAGTATAGAACAATGTTAGAATCGTGTGGACATCAGCATCACAATTATAATTTAGGTAAACATCATAATACATGATGCCTGTAAACAAGCAAAGATTTAACAAGTAATTGAAAAGCAATTTGTGGACAAATACCATTTCAGGGCTGTAGCTTTACCTTGCAGAAATCTTGATACCAAAATACATGCAGAAGGAAAGAAAACTAGAAAAAAAAATTGCTTGAGAAAGATTTTCCTCTCCGTCTTATTTTTCTAGGAAATTTTCTTTTCATAGTTTGGAAAAAATAATCTTACCGCACTATCAGGAACGGTCGTCGTGTACCCGCAACAACTTCGTTCAACGAACCGTTCGTCGCTTTTACATGCTTGTACAGAGATATGGTAGCATGTTTTGCCTTGCTTTTGTGTGTTTTGGCTTGAAAAATGTAAGCAATGACAGTTCACAGCGCTACAGTGCGACCGCTCATCGCGCCAGGCCAAACTGCCCCAAAATGGCTCCGTTTTCGTGTGCCACGATATGCTTTCTGCAGACCGCAACCTCATGCGAAACGTCAGCCATCTCAGCACCCTGGAACCCCCCGGGTGACACCAGGGGAAATGGGGCTTCGGGGTAGTGTTGGGCGTTAAACAATCTTCACAAGTTCGCACATTCACTTGACCGGAACTTGCCTTCGCGCCCGACAGCCGGTGAGCAGTTGTTTGTGAACTTGCAAATGTTCGTTCTACCTTCTAAAGCCCTTATTTTCTCCTTCCTCTCTTTTCTCTCTTGCACTCAAGGTGCTCACTAAATTGCTTGTAAAGCTTCCCTCTTCGCGAGATGTCGGGGCGTGTCTGTCGCTCGTTTTCAATCTAATCAACTTTCTGTTTTATAGGTCCTTCGGGACCTGCACGAGGCTGTAACTAGGTTGACCCTTTGCGGACGCATATGTCGCAAGGGCGCCTCATGACTTAGGCAATCCCAGCTAAGTCTGAGGAGTTGGCGCAAGGGTGCTTGACGACTTAGGCAACTCCAACTAAGTCCGTGACTTTACCGCAAGGGTGCCTCACGACTTAGGCAATTCCAGCTAAGTTCGTGACATTGTGGTATCAGAGCAGGCAAGCAATTCGAGCAAGCAGCAAAGAAACTTCGTAATCTCACCATGGTAAAGTATCGTGGCGAATCGAGCAAGACGAGGCAAGCCGGACCATTGCCCCAAGCAGCCGCAGGTGGGCTGCAAGTGCAAATTCGCTCTCATGTAGGTGGAGCCGCTCTGGAGGATCGTGGAAGCGAACATGATGAGCGAGAAGTTGGCTACTCTCCGCGAGCAGAGGAGGCACAATCTAGAGCGGCAACTGGGAAAAAGAGCCATAAGGAGAGACTCACGACGACGGAAACCTGCCTAGATGTTCTTGAACAGTACTTACGAGCTATAAGGCTCGATTCTAAAAATACCAAAGTTTTAATAGCAACTATGTATTTGAATGGGGATGCAAAACTTTGATGGCGAACCCGTTGGGAGGAGATCCAACAAGGTCGGTGTCGAGTGGACACATGGGAAGAATTGAAGCAGGAGTTGAGAACTCAGTTCCTACCCGAGAACATAGAGTTCGTCGCAAGGAGGAAGCTGAGACAACTCCGCCAAAGTACTTACATTAGAGACTACATGAAGCAATTTTTTGCACTAATGTTGGACATTCAGGGTATATCCAAGAAGGATAAGTTGTTCAGCTTCCTCGATGGTCTGAAGCCATGGGCTCAACAGGAACTGCATCGAAGGAATGTCACCGATGTGATCGGGGTAATTGTGGTCGCAGAAAGGCTCACCGACTTTGTTTCCTCATAGGACTGAGGGAAAAGTAAACAATCTTTAGGAAATTGCCTACCAAAATATTCTCGAGGGAAGGAGCCCGGGGGCGAGCAAAGGAAGAAGAGTTCCCACAAAGGGCCAAGCTCAAAAGGCAAGACCCCAAAACCTGATGGATGTTGCATGTGTGGAGGACCGCACATGGTGAGGGAGTGCCCACAGAAACAAGCACTCAATGCCTTAACAGCTTCAATCCACCCCCCCAAATCGAACAAGGGCAAGGCCATCGCTCTTAGTTCGAGTAGTTCGGAATCCAACAACGACGATGAGGAGTCGCAAGGACCCCGGATGGGAGCAATACGTTTGTTGAATGCTTTGTGGGATCAAGTGGGGGAGAATATGAAGATAAAATCACATAAAGCAGGGAGCAGTGAGCTGATGTACGTGGACATCAAGCTCAATAGTCAACAACCCATGCAATGGTGGACACGGGCGCTACTCACAACTTTTTTGCCAATCGAGAAACAAAGCGACTTGGGCTGATTTTAGAGAAGAACCCAAGTCGGATGAAGGTGGTGAACTCAGAGGCTAAGCGGATCTCTGAGCTGGCAAAGGGAGTTCCTATCAAGATCGGAACATGGCGGTGCCACTGGACGACTTCCAAGTGATTCTCGGAATGGAGTTCATGCACGCGACGAAGTTGGTGTCAATGACGTTCCTGAATTCCCTATGTCTGATGGGAGGCGACAACCCCTGTCTGGTTCCCGTCTCTCAGAGTAGAACCAAGGACCCCTAATAAATATCGGTATTATAATTGAAGAAAAGGGTACGAAAAGGAGAGTTAACCTTCGTGGCTGCTATGAAGCTAGAGCCACTCGACGGGGAGGTCATTCATGAACCTGCTGTGGTCGCGAACGTTCTGAAGGAGTTCACAGACGTTATGCCACCTGAGTTGCCGAAAACTCTACCACCACGTAGAGGCGTGGATCATCACGTTAAGTTGGAGCCTGGAGTGAAACCTCAAGCAAGACCATCATATCGCATGTCCTCTCCAAAGTTGGCAGAGCTCAGAAAGCAGTTAGACGAACTGCTAAGCAATGGTCTCATCCGCAGTTCCAAAGCACCATTCGGAGCTCTAGTCCTCTTCCAAAAGAAACAAGATGGAAGCCTCCGACTATACGTCGACTATCGAGCCCTCAACAAGGTAACAATGAAAAATAAGTATCCCATCTCGCTCATCGCGGACTTGTTCGACCAATTGGGCAAAGCAAAGTATTTCTCCAAACTCAATCTTCGGTCGGGGTACTGGCAAGTGCGCATCACTGAAGGCGACGAAGCGAATACTACCTGCGTGACCAGGTACGGAGCGTTTGAGTTATTGGTGATGCCTTTCAGCTTAACCAACGCTCCGGCCACATTCTGCACTCTTATGAACCAACTATTTAAGGAGTATTTGGATAAGTTTATGGTCATCTACTTGGACGATATCGTCGTCTATAACCAAATGCTCGAGGAGCATGTCGAGCACCTTCGGACAATTTTCAAGGTTCTCAGGGAGAACACTTTGTTCGTGAAAAGGGAGAAGTGCTATTTTGCTCAAACAGGAGATCTTATTCTTGGGGCATCGAATCGATGATGATTCCATTCGAATGGACAAATCAAAGGTGCAAGCTAGTGCGGAATGGCGAACTTCAATGAAGGTACTGGAGCTAAGATCCTTCCTTGGTTTCGTCAGCTACTATTGGCGCTTCGTAGTTGGATACTCGAAGCGCGCAGCTCCACTAACGGAGTTGTTGAAGAAGGAACAACCTTGGAGATGGTATGACATATATGAAGCTGTATTCCAAGATTTAAAGGCTATTGTGCTGGGAGAATCGGTGCTCAAATTGCCGAACTATAGGGAGCCCTTCGAAGTCCATACAGATACTTCAGACTTCGCTATTGGGGGAGTACTCGTGTAGGAGGGACACTCGGTGGCCTACGAGAGCCGCAAGCTCAACGAGACCGAGCGGCGGTATCCGATGCACGAGAAGGAGATGACAGCGGTGGTCCACTGTCTACGAGTTTGGCAGCACTACCTTCTTGGATCACGATTTGTGCTAAGAACGAACAACATTACTTTGAGTTACTTCCAAACTCAAAAGAAACTCTCCCCAAAGCAAGCACGATGGCAAGACTTCCTGACCGAGTTTAATATGGCAATGGAGTACAAGCCTGGAAGAGCAAATGTTGCGACCGATGTGTTGAGCCGGAAAGTGGAGCGCGTGAATGCCATACAGCCGGAGGGCGGAGGCCAAGCAAGTCAACTACACTCCAACTTCCTTTCTAGGATCAGGGATGGACTGTACAGTTATCCCCAGGCAATAACCCTGATGCAACTAATCAAAGAAGGCAACACACGACGATTTTGGATCCAGGATTGACTCATCTACACAAAAGGGAATAGGGTTTATGTTCCTCGAGTGGACAATTTGAGGCGTGAACTCTTGAGAGAGTGTCACGATTCCCTTTGGGTAGGACATCTGGGCATTCACCGAACATTGGCTCTCGTGGAGAGAGCCTTCTACTGGCAGAAGATAAGGACTGATGTGGAGGAATATGTTCGAACGTGTCTTACTTGCCAACAAGATATGGTGGAGCAGCGAAAGCCGGTGAGACTTTTGGAGTTGTTGCCCGTACCAAAAAGGTCGTGGGAGAGCATTTCCTTGGACTTCATATCAAGCTTAACGACGGCAGTGGGACTCGGATCGATACTTGTGGTGGTCGATCGATTTTCAAAGCACGCAACTTTTATTGCTGCACCCCTACATTGTTTAACAGATAAGGCGACCAAGCTGATAATGAAGAATGTGGTGAAGTATTGGAGAATCTCGCACAATATCATTAGTGATAAAGATGCTCGGTTCCTAGGACGATTCTGGACCGAGCTATTCAAATTATTATGGTCTAAGCTATACTTCTCCACAAGCCTACACCCCCAGACGGATGGCTAATTGAAAGGATAAACTCGCTCCTTGAGCAATATCTTCGACATTACGTGAGTGCCAACCA